GGGGGGGGGGGGGGGGGGGGGGGAGGCGGTGAGAGATCATCGTCTTAATAGAAGAACGCTTTCTGCTATTCACTAAGAGGATTTTTAGTTACGAAAATACGCGTGAGGAGAGAGGGGATAATGGCATTAAAAAACCAATAGCAAACGCTAATAGTATTAAAAGGATTGTCTAAGTGCAACTGGGTCTCGCTAATATCACGTTTCGTTATTTCTCTTAATTAATTAATAACTTTTCAATGGCTAGTGTGATACGTTCATGCAGAATTAATTGCTGTCATATTTATAACGCAAAATTATTATAGCCACAAGTATCGTCAATGAAATTTTTGCGAATAATGTTTGTAAAAAGTATAATGTAAGCACTAAAGATAAAAAGACGGTCCTACTTGAGGGAGGGGCGAGGGTTTACCCTACTTATCTTATGTTTGAGAGATTACTCTCGTACGTTATAAGAATACCGTATGCTGCGAATATCCTGAAAAATCTATCGCTATCTACATAATTATTTTATTAGATTATTACGCACAAAAAAATTATGGGAGTTTTTTGTATCGATAACAGTGATATAATTTCAGAAAAAATTCAGTTGGGTGCATTCCACTTATTTTTTTTCCAAATGAAATGTTAATTTTCGTATAATTATGTTTTGATAAAATTTAAAAATTCCAGAACTCTCAAAAACCAGAAGATCGTTTAAATTTCTGTATCGCGTTTCCTATGTCATGAATTTTGCCTGGTAATATTTTGTGCGTTTGTATCAATATATCTATATACGAGTCTTTGCACACGCTAAATTTATTATTACGTGACGTTTCCTCTACGTTCAAATTTTACGTTTAAAATGGAAAGTGTGACGTGTTACATTTATCATTGTCTTATGAAATATCTCTATGCTGAATATTGAAAATTATACATACTTCGAAGAACTTGAACGTGGACCCTTTTTGTTTCGCTCCGTATTTTATCGTCTTTTTTTTTACAAGCTCCTCAACATTGTCGAACGGTGACACCACGGTCTCTACAGTTAAAAATGCCGCGAGGTTCGCGGTGTAACTAGATACGATTATGAGGCAGAAAAACCACCAGGATCCTGCCATCATTCTCGTAGAAATGCCTCTGCGAACAATGAAGACTTTGCATTAATCTCTCTTGAATAAATATTTGAATTAAATCAAACGCGTGTCTTTTTTCCGTTCTAAAAAATTACTTCAAGGTAGTATTCGCTGAAAAATTGTATCGAGTGCAAAGAATCGAGTATTTTATTTCCGACGATTTATCCCGAGGTGTACATCGTATTATTAGCAGATAATATACTTACACAGATGCAATCCACTGCCATTATTGCATAATACTTACATAGGTGCAATCTCACTGCCTTGTTGCATAATACTGCCTATCGCGAACCAAAATGCATTCTTGAATGTAAATTGATTTTCCAATTCTTCGGCATCCTCGATACAAGGATAAGGATTATTCCATTCCGCCGGGCATAGTCTACCAATTATAAATAACAAGAGGGACACTATTATGTAGACTCCAATCAAATATAACCAAACTCCATTTGAAAACGGAGAAAGAAACGAGAATAGACTAGGAGGCGCTCTTGTTGGCTTTCGGTAGAGGATGCTTATACCTGTAAAATGATATACTACTTTATATTTTTGAACTGCGTATATATAAATCAGCGGTTTTATCAAAAACATCAGTAAAATTTAAAATTATTTAATTCTGTAAGATTCGACGTTGCATATTGCATATTGCATACGAGATCGCTTTGCCTCATTGTTTTAGATGTTGATTTTTCTTTCTTCTAATTTAATTCAAATGCAACTCACTCGATGCACCGTAACTCATTTGACGCGAATATAACAACATAGCGTGCGTTCAACTATTAATATTAAACTTAACTAAATTCATGAAAGGCATTGTGAAATCGACAGCACTTTCTCGTTCTGACGTGATCGTTAAATCCGTGATGGCCAGGTCTGCTTCCTGAAAAGCACAGTTTCTGAATTTTTGGTAGAAATTTGTTTTAAAGTCACGCAAGGACATCCGGTGATGACCAGAAAATTGTCATTCAGCATTCATCACGCGTACTAACCTCAGCTATAATTTTCCCGAGCATGCCGGACCACTTTTCCGTGTTCTTATTCAAGGATCCGTAATCAGACTCCTCCTGCAGGGTGTAGTTGAATCCGAGTATCTCGCTGATTTGTTGTATGATGTCGATTCCGAAACCCTCGTAACGTTCATTACCGCTCAACGTCGTCCAGGATTCTTTTTGCATGCCGTATGGCGGGGTGAGGGATATCAAGACTACGAAAGTTTTATTTTGTAAACTTAGTTCCATATCAGACTTCTTCTTGCTAACGCCCGACGCCCATTCGATATTCTGTCCCGACGTGCTGTTCCATGTACCAATTTTTGTCAAACCATTCTCGGTGAGACGTACGATGTCCAATTGTATGTTGCTGCGGAAACCATCTCTGTCGAACTTTACGAGGCCCGTCAAACCTCTCGTTTCTACCTGAAAGCGAAAAATTGTGCGATAACATATTCGTGCGCGAGAATAAGAATATTACCTTATATTCTTATCATTGTTGAGAAATTGTATGAATTTGTTATGTAGTCTTCTCGCCTTCTCGCGCATATTTATCGTTACTATATTCTTAAAAACTGAAATTATGAACATCGCCGTATTTGTGCTCAACTTGAATCTTACCGATCGCATAAAGTTGCTCAAACTGAGCCCGTGTTCCCATCTCTCGTTTTCGTCGCACGTTATCTTCTTGATGTCGCCCTTAGTGGCATCCTTCAGTTGCTTGAAGGCTCTCGCGAAAAGTTGCACAGCGTCGTACATGAGCGCTGGTTCGATTCGCAGCTGTGAAGGATCGTCCAGACCCCATTCGTTCTTGTGCTTTTCCACAGTTTGTTGCACTATCGGATCCTCGGGATCAATAAGCCGTACGCCAGTGAAGTTGACGCCGGAATACTGATACGGCTCTAAGTCCAGAGTTTGCAGATCCTGCACACACATACATATACACACACACACATTCATTGGCACGTATCTCACTCGCAAGCTTAACTATCAGGCGATTCGTGCAAAATAAAGCCGTACTACGCATACCAAATCGTGCTCGTGACTCACATGTTCATTAAAATTTAAAGTTTTATGTGAGACGATAATAAAGACTGATTAAAACTAATCAAGCATCTGATACTTTCGCGGCTGTTACATTTATATCATAATTTTGTTTCCAATTTGAGATTATTATTCGTGGTATTTTTAAAAATTTTTAATATTAAAAAAAAACTAATTATATAAGTGTTTACGATAGTAAAAGTGAGAATTTTCGAAGAAAACTCGAAAAAAATACAAATTATAATTTTTAGTATTAAAAGAACTATAAATTATAAAAAGAATACAAATTATTATTATTATTATTTAAAAATTATTATTTATATTTAAAAATTTATTTATTATTTAAAAATTATTATTCACATATTTCTTTTAGAATTTTCTTCGAAACTTCTCATGCTTTCAATTGTGAAACTTGTATAATTAATTTTTTTAATGAATAGGTTACTAAAGAAAATGATGTTACGTCATCGCTAGAACAATCGCATATATTTGTTCCATTTTATTTATTCTTTGCAATTTTGCTTTGTAACTCGTTTGAAGCGCGTAATCTCTTACCAGAGAAGTCACGATTACTCTGTGTCGGTCGGACAAGATGCCAACTTGTTGGGCCTGTCTGAGGACCTCGCTAAGTATGTCGTACGAGCAGTCGATGATGATGTTCTCTATTTCCGACGCTTTGATGTCTTGCATCGCTTCCCTACATAGGATTCGACGCCAAGCTGTACAATTAACCCACGTTCTTCTTGGGAAACTTTTTCGACTACTAAGTTCGCCGATCTTTCTAGTCCCATCTAGTCAATTTCGGCGCGATTATGATTTGTAACAACGCGAATTACGAATTTTCGAGTAGTCGTCTTCTACGTTGATAATCTTTAAATGTTATCTTAACATTACTGAGAATATATATTGGCGGCGTCATCAAGAGTATACGCACGCTCATAACAACGTATTAGACAATCTAATTATTACAATAATAATTGTCAATAGCGTATCTTAAACAACTGAGGAGAATCAATGAGCATATGCAATAATTTAAAGTGCACGATCATAGTAAAAATCAATCAAGAAATGTTTTTTTTGTGACCGTGGGATTGAAAGACCTTCGACTGTGAGATCAGGCGTTTCTGTAGCGTGTACCTATAGTTCGGTCCGTCTCCCAAATAGTACACGAACGCGGAATTACCATGGGGGTCCCATCGTTTCAATAGGAAACGCATGCGAACCAGACTGTCGATATCCTCGTACAGTATCGCGAAGGACGTCCACTTGAACTCCGTAACGAGTTGATCGTACACCTGTAAAAGCGTCATCGATTGAGTGCAATTAAATTCAAAATATAGGCGCGAATGGCGTATCTTTATTTTCCACACATGCATTTTCAGAGTGCGGTACATTAACGAGGTTACTCTTAGTAAATTAGATTAAAGATCTTATTATATAAATGTTAATATCGCGTAAGTGTAAATATGTCTGTTTCATACTAATCTATTTATAGAGACACGTATTAGCTTATATACAAGGTGTCTGACGCAAAGTGTGCCATATCTCATGTAGATTAGATCAACCGAACATAAAATTTCTCTATCATTTTGCAAATTATTTTACTTTAATTACTTTATTTTACTACAAATTTTACTACTTAATTTAACTACTTTATTTTACTACAAATTTTACTACAACTTTAATTAAATTTTCTTCAGTTTTGTTCTTTAGTTAATAAAAAATCTACGTGGTTATTTGTGCCAAAATAGTAAAAAAATTTTGTGTTCGGTTTGATCTAATCTCTACACTGAGAGAAAAATTACTTTAAAATCAACAAATATTTCTTTGATGGATACCATTAACATATTTTTATTTAAATATAAATTCTCTTTATTTAAATCAAATATTGTTTACTTAAATCAGATAAACAATATTTGATTTAAATAAAGAGAATTTAGATTTAAGTAAGTATGTTAATGACACCCATCAAAAAAGTATTTGTTGATTTTAAGATAATTTTTCCCTCAGTGTATATGTACACGAAGTATGGGATGCTTTGCGTAAGACACCTTGTATGCTCTCACTCGTTTGTCGTTCTTTCTTTTTTCTTTAGTAACGAGTCTGTTAACGCGATTGCAATATTGATTTTTACAGCTGTATTTTTTTATACTTACTCGTGCTAACGAGCTCACGTGCGGATACAGATTGAGACCTATTCCACGTGGCTGCGATGGTTCAGCGGAATCTTGTCGCACGGAGATGTGCGGTACGTCCATCGTATCGCACATGCTTTGCACGTGATCCGCGATTACTTTGTCCTGAGGACCGAAGATCCCAACGACACCCATGCTGACCATCTCGCATACTGAACGTTTCGAAAAAATTCATTTTGTAGAGTCGCGTATAATATGTATAATATGTAAATGCAACTGCGTTCTCAATCGTATTCCGGGAGAATAATCGAATGGGAAAAGCAAACAACTTTTGTTTGAAAAAATTTTTTATACGACCTCTATTTTCTAAGATATTTACGTAAATATCTACAAAATTATTGGTTTCAATAATTTTTTACTTGAATTCTATCAACTTTACCGAAAAATATCAAGAGATAAAAATTATTTATTTTGTTCTCATAGAGCTCTGAGAATTTTTTCAGAATTTTATATTAATTTTTTAGTACTGCATTTTCTTACATTTTCTTGAAGTACTAAAAAGTTAACACAAAATTCTGAAAAAATTCTCAGAGCTCTTTGAAAACAAAATAAGCAATTTTTATCTCTTAATATTTTTCGGTAAAGTTAATAGAATTCAAGTAAAAAATTATTGAAACCAATAATTTTGTAGATATTTACGTAAATATCTTAGAAAATAGAGGTTGTATAAAAAATTTTTTCAAGCAAAAGTTGTTTGCTTTTTTACGTAAAATAAAATCCCGTAATAAAAAGTATGTATTTCTATTTAAAAAAGCAAAGTTGACCTTGTCTTGACCTTGGCGACGTCATCTTAGGTCAAATAACTACTGTCATTAAATGCGACTTTTTAAGCCTTACAACTTTCATTGGAAATATTTTTCTCTAAAATGCGCCCCCGCCGAGTTTTCTTGCCGTTGCCGAACTTATGGGACACACTGTATATATACAAGGTGTCCTGTATTACCTTCACAATCTCTTGTAAAGATATAGAAGAAAATTTGTGCATTATGGTACATAATCATATAACAATTTTCTTTGATTAATATCTAAAAATCTATATTGTCATTTACAAAATAGTAGAGGATTTTTTTGTTTAGTTTGACTTAATGTACAACGGTAGACGGCGCAATTGCAGCTCATCTACCATATTGCGCATTATCATTCACCAATCTTTTTTAATTAATATGTCGATTATTATTGCAAATATCGCAAAATGGTATAGGACTTTTGTGTTCATCTCAATCCGCTCTGCGTCCTTACGAGAAATTGTGAAAGTAATATGGGACACCCTATATATATATCGAACATAAGATAAGAAATAGACATTTAAAATAAAGAAATAGATATTTAAAATATATAAATAAATATAAGTATGCGATAAAAATAGCACATATATCTATAAGACTTGCAAAAGTTGGTCATATTTTTACCCATATTGATTTTGTTAATTGTGACAAAACTGGACATGGCGATCAGAGTACCTGTCATCTTTGCCTGTCACTTTCCTCTACTCTGTCAAGTAATTGATTAATTCCGCGTCTGACTCATTCTCTTGGAGTCGATGAAATCATCGACGATTCGACAAACTTTTGCAAGTCTATTAATATGAGATCCGTGTCACGCGGTAATTGCGCGGAAAGCTCTCACCTTTTGCGGATACTTCGAACGCGTCCGGTTCAATATCGTTCGATTCCGGCATCAGATACACGTTCGACAGTTCCTCATTGTCATGTCTCTCTTTGTTCACCGCCCTCACCGATGACTCGAACGTCCGCTGGATCGCTTCATCCTCGTCGAACAGTCCCGCTGTAACGTACAGCCGGCTCTTTTTAAAGTCGAGTCTCACTGACACGTTCGAAAATAGCTCACGAAGCACTTCCGCAAAGTAGCGCGCCTACGTTCCGAGCGCCTTATCGTGCACGTTTAATTCTTCTCCAAACACGTTATTTTAAAACGATACTACATTTTATTTTAACAAAAGAATACGACGAAGATAAGATAAAATTCTACGGAAGGCTTCATTGATAGCGAATAATATAATAATATCATGAATATCGTAAAGTACTTTTGAGGCGAAAAAAGATCGATTCCTTCTGTTTTAATCATTAATTATAGTATTGATAATTTTTGAAGTCCGCGTACATCGCGTCTCCATATTTTATTCGCTCGTTTGTCTTACCTACAGACACCCTTTTCGGGAAAGCTAAAACGCAGGACAGGAATATCGGCAGTAGTATCAGCAGGCGTTTGGTCACCATCTTATGATCATTCTGTGCACACAACAGACAGATTTAAAACGCCGATGCGCACGTACACGCGCGCGAACACACATCCGAGCTCTGACGAGCGTCTTGACAGGTGCTGGTACGTATCCAATAAACTCGGATGTAAACGTACGCAGCGTGCACAACCGGACGGAAAGATCTTGAACGAGCACTTAACCGGTCGACGTTATATAAACTAAGCGGAAGGCACCGCGCTGAAAGTCGCTCTCGAGGGGCACATAAATATTTAGACCCACGTCTAAAATCAATCTTTCAATATTGAGTTTAGTTATTTGCTCGACGGCTCGCGCTCTCAATAAATCGCTCCGTGCGACTTCTTTCAACGGCATCTAGCATGCGACAAATGCCGCGTTATTTTGCCGCGAGTTGACTATCTCTGCAGGTGAGAAAATAGATTCTCTCTTCTTTATTTCTCTCTCTCTTTCTCTCTCTCCGTCTTTGCTGCTCCACCACGACTCTCAAATTACCTACGTGGAAAATTAATAAGACGACGCGAGCGCAGCTCGTAAACTAGACGTAATGTTAGTTCTGACAATTTGTTAGTCAACGCGCCTCCGGGAATTGTTGTATCCTGTTTTGTTTTGCATTCTTAATCGAATAAAGATGATTTTCGCGAAACTCTAGTTGAGAAATATTGTTAATATTATATGTCGTTTCTATAAAAAAAAAAGTTTCTTTGAACTTTAATATTCGAGTAACTCGTAAAACTAAATAAGTATTGACTGAAGCAAGCTACTTTCATGAAACTCAACTTTTCTTCTTCGACCGCAGTTATACGTTTAAATTTCCCTTTGCAAAAACTGAGTATACACGAGATATTTGTACAAATATTTGCAAATGTATTAGATTAAATTCGCGAGCTTCCTAAATCTGCGCAAATGAAATTCGTAATTCTCGCATCCGCAATACGTACTCGTCGTGTAATGAGAACGGTCTGGGCGTAATTAATGTCTCAAAGCTACGTAAATATGCGTCCGAGTTTCCTGGGTGTCTTGCCCGCGGGAGACCAGCGTCTGTCCCGTGCTTTTAGCAACATCACACGCATTCAGAGTTCCACGGAGTCTACTGTCATCGTGCCAAATGCACGCAGTCTGGCGTGTTCTTTTTCATTCATTCATCGGCAGACGGCATTCATGCCTATTTATCGGGGCCATTTCAGAGGCCTTCTACGAACGTGTCGATCCGTCTCGTCGCGTTACGCGAAATTGTAAGCGCGAACTCTCGCGACAAGGAGCGTCGCGGCCGCGTATCTTACGCGATCCAGCGCATATCGTACGTCGCGAGGCACGACATGGAAAACTAACGAAAATCTTTCGCAGACCGCATAACGACGTCGATATATTTAGACGCCGAGCGTCGCCGCCACCACTGGTGCTTGTCGCGTTCGCCGTGTGACATAGATTTCGACGGAACACAATTGGAAGTATTTCTTCACGGAGAAGTCGCCGGCGCGCCTAATTCTACCGAGCCACGAGGACGTAATTATCTCATTTCGCTGATTCTCTATCGCTCGTATATTTAGAGACGTGAGATATTCCCCTCGAGAGAGAAACTCCGTGACGCCGAACGTCGTCGTGCGTGTCGGCGCATGCGAAAATTTCCGCGGAAAACTCCCCTTGAAATTCCCATCCCCCAAACTTCCCTCGTCGAGTCCGCGTTAACTTAACGCGTTTAGGGATTAATCTCCGAGTGAAGATCGTCGGACGATTTTGAGTCGATGTCGAGGAGACGAAGGTGTAGAGAGAGAGTTACGCGAGTTTCCCGTTTACATCGAGGAAAGAGGCACGTGCCGAGACTCAAGCGACAGACGCGTTACTCCGAGGGATGCTTTTCAAAAGTTCGCACGAGTGCTTACCTAGAAGGCGACGATGTTGCTCGCTACCTGGGACGAAACTTTTGAGGCGCGTGTTTCACCGAACGAACCTCGCGGCACGCGACTCTAAATCCGAACGCCACTTCTCGTGCGGCTCCTCGCCGGCGCATGCTCTGAACTCTGTTCCAAGTTTTCAGGGTCTCCGCCGTCGCGACGGAAGACGGTGGTGCCTTCGTCGTCGTTCGCCTTCGTCGTCGAACGCAACAGAGTCTGACACAGAAGAATGTCGCTCGGGTGACATGATGTTGTTAGTATATGATTGCTAATTCGCAGCAATCTTTTTAGAGAATTTCCCTGGCACTTTCTCTGTGCGTTATATGACAATTCCAAAGGCCTTATTTCTTTTGATTGTGTACCTAAAAAGCCTATTAAATCAATTTTAAATCGAATCCGTCAATTGCGGATGTTGGGAACGTTGGGAAAAATGATCATTCCCCAGCGTGATTGACTTCCCTCATTCGTCTCTTAGGGATTTTATTCTTCGACTTGCTTGATACTTTCGAGCCACAATTTGTAACTTCTGCTTTTAAATACAGGTAATCCTATATTTAATAATCTTCAAGTCAAGCAAACGGTTTTATTAACGCGAAAGCAGATACGAAGACAAAAGAATTGCAGAACGCGATTACCTAATCAATTGAAAAGAGACAAAGCGGGAGACAGCGCCGCTATTATATCGGGCCGATTTAAAATATTCAATAACGATGAAACTTTCGCCTTTATGGCTAAATGCATTTTGCGCGGAAAATTATTAATCACTTTTCGATACTTTATCTGCATTAATCATACTTTGTTTGACAAGGCCCGACTGTCGCGTACAAAGCTCTGTAACTATAGTATATGTCGTTAGCGGTAATTACCGTAAAAGTCGTCCTTTTAGATGCGCTTGTAACGTTGTTCACATCGCCTACATATATACACAAAATTAGAGTAAGTAAATTAAATAACTACATTGATGTTCTGGGATTAAGGTGGAGTCGAGCGAGTTCATTAACTTAGGTACTTAGAGAAAATTAGATGTGTCGGTGTAGAAGGAATCGAGATTCTAATCGCGCCAGCTAAAAGTATAACTACGAGCAATTTACACGAAATTGAAATTTATTATTAGAATTATCCGGCGCTGTGCGCGTAAACGAGAGAAGTCGTCGTTGGTGTTTTCATGTCACTATCATTTTTTAATTTAACTCTGTAACTTGTAATCTTAACTGGCGCGCTTGACTCTGTAACTTCAAATTAATCGCGCCCGCCAACCCGTTGACAGTTTCTCTCTATTTGCACTCCAGTCGATTGCCATTCACAATAACAAAAAAATGATAAATACGACTCGTATTTCTACCGTAAAACAAAACATGTTCGCATATGAATGTAATATCCCTCAATTCATTATGCATTCATACAGCGTTATTTGAGAGTGAAATAACGCGATATTTGATGTCAATGGACATTTTCTAACTGGAATATTGACAATCCTCATTTTATTTATTTGTCAGAATTCTCGCGTGGACGGTAGTCGATTGGGGGGAAAACGGAGAAAGAGATTGTCGGTGAGATTCTGGTAACTAAATGGATTTTATATGAGAAATTATAAGCATTTTAATATAAACTGTAGCTGCGAAGTTGGCGGTACGATTGGCGCGATGATCAGCCAACGCGATTGTCAAAAGAGGATCTGGGAAAGAGGGTGTGACGAGGGCGCAATCACAACATGGGACGTTCGAGTGAGAATTTACAGACGATTAATTTATTCACGTTTAATATGATGCTCGTAGTACATTTTATATAAGAAGTAGAATCGGTAGGCTTCTTTCTCTTAACAAACTCCGTGTGTCGTGACGTGTGTGCGCGCAAGATAACAAGTATGTAGTATCGACGATATTTACAGTGAGTATCGGTATATGTGTCATGGATGTGTGTGTGTGTGTGTGCGTGTGTGCGTGTGCGCGCTCGCTCACGTGTGAATATGATGTATCGCGCGTTTGTACGTACGTCTATGACCGCATTCGGCACTCGATAAATCGTACGGCGAGGGGAAGAGAAGGAGGCGGAAGGAGAAAGAGGGGAACAATCCGAATGGGAAGTGTGCGAGTAGAGGGGAAGGAAATAAAACGATTTACCTCCGTGTGTCCTCGCTTTTACGCTCGGTCTTAAAATAGCGCCCGCGCGAGCTACCGAAACGTCACGTACTCCTCAACGCGGCGTCGAACATTCGCGCGTGCTGACTCGCCGCGACACTCTTCCCCGAGAGAGAGAGAGAGAGTTTCTCGGGTCTTCCGATGCTGGACTCGGGGTGCTCGCCGTTTTCTTTCCTGCTTTGCGCGACACAGGAAGAGGAAGACTTATGAAAAGAATAATGCTGCTCGATCAACAAGGCCTGCGTAAACGCGATCAAATGTGGCGCGGAAACGTCGATCGGATGAATAAAAGGATCCGTGATTAATTAGCGGCGATTGCGAACAAACTCAGCCGTTGCCGGCCTGAGATCTCGATCCTGCGCATTCGACGGCGAACATTGACGATGCGTCTCGAACGCGGTTTGAAAAATATTCTATCTAACTAGTTTAGGTAATTGCAACAGTTGACGAATAATCACAACACGCTCGACTAGTTTGCCCAAATAATAGCTCATTGATCTCATGGACCCCGTCATACCAGCTAAGGGTTAAGGAATGAGTTGAAGTAAAGTATGCTAAAATATATCGACTATCTATCGTGCGCAATTATACAGGAAACGGTCGAGTCATGATAAAACAGCGCAAAAGATCGCTCGCAGCCTCGCGTCTCGGGGACCGAAGGGTTCAAGATGAAGTGTGCGAGATTGTTCTCCGTTATCTATACATGAGTCAAATTCGTCCGATCGTCACGCGGAGACGTACGTCAACGACTAATATCCGGTTGGAGTTGGAATAGAATGCCTTGATTATGGGATGCATCGACAGTACACCCTCTAATGTCATTCTAAAGGCCACCTAAATTCCGCGCGACTCTCCCGTGTACTCGCTCGTTTTCGCACGCATTCGCTTCGCATCGCACTTTATAACATGTAGACGACGTCAGGATCTTACGAAGAGCTAGATGATGGACTATCTTATTCGACGGTGATTGATAAAAAAGAACAGACCTGTATACATACAGCTACAGGGAGTTCCGTTTTTTTCTCGTTTACACACCGACTGTCGGGATTCCCATCTTGGAACGAATTTACAGAAGCCTCTTTGCGTCGCTATAAGGCCTTTCCGCAGCGTCGTCGTCTTTTAGCGGATATAATGCAGCGTCGAATTGCGCCCGATCTCGAAGGCGAAAGAAGGAAGGAGAGCTCGGCTTCGCCGTAAGAACTCCGCAAGAACCCGGTCGTTCGTTTGTCGCATTTAGGAGCAATCTCGCATTGGGCAATGAACCTTGCGCGGCTACCTGCCTTCTTGCGATCTTCGCGCGTATACTTAAAACTGACCGATCTGACGCATCTCGATTCGCAAGTGAAATCGCGCCGCAATTAACTATGTAAGGGAATTCATCATTCGGCCTTCTCGCTTGGCCTCTTTGTTCATGTCAAAGGTGCTTTCCCAACGAAGTACCTGTACTTGTTGCACGCCGCGTATTTGCCCTCCACCGAGACGATCGACAGGCTCGAATGTTGCCTCTGACATCGACAAAGCGCCTTCCTCGACGGCTTTTTATTCCCGTCGCCGCAGTCCATAGCGTATCGCAATTCGCTCGCCATTTCCGTGCACACGGACTTCTGAAAGTTCGACGAAAAGACGATTGCGAAGTGCTCACGTACTTGATCGAGTCGTGCAGCTCAAACTCCCAGCGAGTCTGGACATTAATTTCAGCTTTGCTTGCAAAGAGGCGGTCAAAAGTTCCGTTAGGGAAAAGTTAACTCTCGCCCGAAAATGTTTGAGCTGAAAGACTGCTACTTAATTTAAGCACGCTATGTTTCAAGTGCTGCTAAATATGAAAGGGAAACGACTCAAGACGAGAAATTTATATTTTACTGCGGTGAAGTGGTTTTAGATTGGTGTTTTGGAAAATTTCAGTCGAGCTGGTGCATGCAGTAAGTCGCGTTTGGATTGTGGTGTACGTACAAATATGACTCTGAAACTTTCCGCTTTTTTTCTGACGCAAGATTTAATCGTCATAGCTCCGAAGGGCGATTGGGACAGTAAATAGGCAAAACTAAAAAGTGTACTCTGATATTTTTCAGTGTTAAGAGTGCTCAGAGTAGTACATATATATATATATATATATATATATATATATATATATATAT